TTTATTTTTGATCATTTTCACGGCCCGGCCCGGAATTTTTAGAACCTTGGTTATTTTGAATCATTTTGACTGTCTTTTTTGTAAGTTATTTCAAAAGGGGGGAGGGGAGGGGTAAATTTATTAGAAGTAAATGAATTATTTAAATGCCCCACCATTATTTGACCCGACTGAATTATTGATATAATTCTAATTCCTCTTTTTTATCGCCCTGGCATGACGAGCCGATTTAAAAAAACGGGCCTTATTGACCCAACCCGGCCTTTTTTCAACACTAGCCTGGCCTTCTCACGGATTTTAGTCACAACCCGGATTACCGGTCCGAGGTTTAACACATTTCTTCTTCAAGTAGCAGCTGACTAAAGAGTCGTGATATAAACTGTGAAAGTATAAGAAGGATAAATGTTAAAGCATAAAAATGTTGTTATTTTACTTCTAAGATCAACATCACGAGCATGCACCGATACCTTACCATCTAATTGACAAAATTAAACAAAACCAAATTATTCAATGTAATAATATACACGAAAGTGTTATTTATTGTATTATTATATTGTTATATAGTTATTTATTGTATTTTAAAATATAAATTTAAATAAAGAATTTTCTAATAAATATCAAAATGTACTAATTATAATATTTTTTTTAAAAAAAATGAACCATGCAACGTTTGCTTTTTTAGTTGAATTTTTTTACCCCCACATATTTCTTCGTTTATACAAATTATTATCTGTGTGAAACGATATTTGCAAATATGCCTAAATTTTATATGTGGAAGCCTAATTCACTTCTTGTAATACGAAAATATGAATCATTTCATATTCTATATATGATTAATATTATATATGTACAGTTTCAATAAAAAATTTTTTATTGCAAATAGCTGTGCTTAAACCTTAGGCAGCCCCCGGGGCTAAATGAACCAGGCGTCGAATCCCTTTATATAAAACAATTTATTTAAATCCCCAAAGCAAATAAAATATTAATTAAAAAAGAAAATTACAAATCATAAAGACTTGATGGGGTGATGCGAGCAAAGGCATTTGTATTTTTAATATCAATTAAAATCTAATTGGGAAATTTTTTTTTTAAAACTTTATCGAAAAAACATATTTCTGATTTCGATTATCACTGGTTGTTTTAAAAATCCAATATTTCGTCTCTCTCTTTTTCTAGACACTCCAAATTAAGATATCTTTTATCTTTCGATAATATTTTTTTAACATCATCCAAATGCTGTTTATTATCGCTAATCATTTCTTTTGATCTAATTAACATAATTAAAAGAATATATTAAAAAATAAATATTAATAAAGTTAAAATTTCAAATGTATAAATAAATACTTGTAGGTTATAAATTTTGTCTCCTTTAATAATTCTTTGAATTCTGATTGAGCGCTTGATGTCCTATACTCATCAAACTCTTTTTCCCTTTTCTACAGGCATATAATTTCAATAAAATTTCTTATAAAAAACCTTATCGCTATTGGAAAATTTAATGTATCAAGTTCTTTAATCAATTTCTTTGCGGATTTCCATGGTGTCACAAGAGTGATCTTTATATTTAAAAAAGATTATAGAACATTTTAAAGCAATAAAGCAATGAATATTAATAATATTACATCTTTCGTCTCGACTAATAGTTGTCTAAATTTTTCACGTTTTTTCTTTGTCAATATGTCGATATGTTTTTCAAAAAATCTTTCTCTTTCATCCCTATCTAAAACCTTACAGAGTTCCCATCTTTGATCTTTTTCAAAATCTTTTTAGCATCCTTCCAATCGTCAAAAGCTTTTTTAACTTAGACAATCATTTATAAGAATAATTTAAATTCTAAATCATTATTATTTTTCTATAACTATTACATCTACTATAATTTTCTACAATTAAATATTCGACCAGGCTATAACAATTATATTTGTAGTATATATTATGCATCATACCTAAATTTTCAGGTTTGACTTAATATGAGATAAAATTTTAAAAAAATTTTCCGAATGATATAATCTTTTTTAAAGATCCGAAACTTAAATTATCTTAAATATAGGTCCGAGTTCAATTCTAATTTTTTTATCACGAAAAGTAAAATATTTCAACAAACGTGAGAATATTCTAAGTATTAAAGAAAAATAAAAAAAATTAAAAGACATCCCACTTATAAATAAAAAGTAATTTTACAGCAACCAACTACTTTGCCAAAAAAAATAGTGGGCTATAGCCATAGTCATAACGTTTTTTAAAGCGATTTCTGAAGGCATGTTTCCAATGATTTTTTTTTTATTTCCAAACAAAAAATAATAAAATGTCTAATTAATTTTTTTTTTTATAATATAATGTTTATAAAAAAAACTTGATAATTCAAATCAAACTCAGGTGTTGATGATTCTCTCAAGTGGAGCCTGATCTAAATCAGGCCTACTTTCCCAAGTAGCCCGGTCCTGAACGAATTTTTCTTTTATTTGTCCCAAATAAAAGTATTTGTTGGCACGGCCCAAATTTATTTAAATATATAAAAATGTATAATCTTTTTATTGTAAAAAAATATCCTACAAATAAAAAATTTTAGCGCCTTGTTTCTTGCAAGAATTATTAAGTATATCAATTTATTTGACAATAATGTAATGATATCAAATTTAAAAAGCCCAACCAGGCCTAAATTTTTTTAAAAAATAAGGGCCAACCCAGCCCGATATTATATTTTTATAAAGTAGCATATTTTAGCTATAGCTACTATCGCCGGGGTGGCCTAATGGATTATGATGTATGCTTGGAAACAGAAGATCCTAGGTTCAAACCTGGAAAGGAACATAAAAATTTTCAGGTTTTTCTTCAATGGCTGATGTGTAAAGATATATGGTAAGATAAATTTCGGAGCTTTGAAATGACACCCAAGTCACCGACAGGCCTGGACAGCCGGGTGCTAAGGATACTTGTCCAATAAACAAAAATGAAGGATACAAACAAAAATGAATATGAAAGCTAAGGCGTTCCCTCCAAGCGACGTGCAGTGTGTAAACCTCCATCCTGTGAAACGTAAAATAAGGGTCTAAGCAAAGATGACAAGATTAGCAAGTTTGAATATTGGGACACTTAAAAAGACGAGAGAATTAGCATCAATGTTGAACAAGAGAAAATTTGATAGCGTGCATACAAGAGATAAAATGGAAAGGTCAGAAGACTTTAATGATTGAAGATGGGTATTGTACTATAAGGGAATTGCAAGTAATAGGATAATCCTCAGTCAAGATCTAATCTCCTCAGTGGTAGAAGTTAATAGGATCTCTGATAAAATATGAAAATAAAACTCTGCATTGGTCTATCAATACTACACATCCTTTCAGTATATGCTCCTCAAACGGGTTGAGAAGGAGAGAAAGATGACTTTAGAGCTATCCTTGATGAAGTTGTAATGGAAATCCCTAAGGATGACCTAGTCATAATAGGTGGTAACTTAAATGTGCATGTGGAAAAAGCAAGAGATAGCTACAAAATCATTGTGGTTTTGGATATGGAGAAAGAAATGATGAAGAAGAGCATGTAATGAAATTTGCGCAAGCCTGACCTTGCCTAAACCTACCTACTATAGGATAAAAGACAGTCATTTAATAACATATAAAAGTGGGACAAGGAAAACACAGATAGATTACATGATCACTCGCAGAAAATTAAAAGATGTATGCAAAGTCATTCCAGGAGAAGATATCGCCTCGCAACACAAGCTACTAGTCATGGATTACACATCCCAAATAAATCCACTCAAAATAAAATAAAACTTGAACCATGCATCCAATGGGGTAAATTAAAAACAATGATAGATGCCTTTGCAATCAATGCAAACATTGAAACAATAGATTCCTCACAGGTCAGTGAAAAAAATGTGGACAGACCTTTCATCCAGATTAATAGACACTGCCAAATCGATATTAGGCTTGACAAGTGGAGGCAACAAATCATAGAAAAAACTATGGTGGTGAAATGAAGAGGTACAAACCACTATACAGGAGAAAAAAGCCCTATATAAAATATGGTACAAATCTAAAAACCCATAACAAGACAAATTACAAAAAATCCAAGAGAATAGCTACAAAGGCGGTGGCTAGGGCCAAAGCTATGGCATACGATGACATGTATGATGAACTACATACCAAAGAAGGGCAAAATAAAATATACAGATTAGCCAAACAGCGAGAAAAGAATTATAGGGATACAAACGGAGCTCCGAGTAGTGTTGTTAAACGGCTCTTTTTGAGCCGATTTTTAAAAACGGCTAACTCACTATTTCACCCAGAATAATTTAACTCAAGCCTGAAGATTTTGTTTGTAGAAGGAACAAAGGTTTGGACATCTATTAGCGAAATCTCAAGGCTTAGGCTATATTTTTCAGGCTAAAATATTGAGTTAGCCGTTTTTAAAAATCGGCTCAAAATGAACCGTTTAACAACCCTATCCGAAAGTAATTAAAAATAAATATGGGAAATTGATAATAAAGGAAAAAGAAATAATGAATAGATGGAAAGACTATTTTCAAGAGCTTCTCAACTTTAATCCCCACATACTACACTAGATGAATACTCCCCATGTCAAAACCATATGCAGCCATAACAGAACAAGAAACAATCACATACCTCAAGCATATGAAAAACAACAAATCTATGGATCCAGATGATATTCCAATAGAAAGCCTTAAGGCACTAGGAGATTATGGAATACATTTCCTCATAAATCTATACAATAAAATACTGGAAAATGAAGATATTCCTCAAAAATGGAGACAGAGCTATCTAGTTCCTATCTTCAAAAATAAAGGAGATCCACACAATGATCAAAATTACAGGGGCATAAAACTAATGTCACCTTGTCTTAAACTCTACGAAAAAATAATAGAAAAAAGATTAAGAGACAGAGACTCAGTTTGTCTTTATGCCTGGAAGATCAACGACTGATGCAATCCAGGCAATCAGGCAAATGAGCGAAAAATACAGGGAAAAGAACAAAAAGCACACATGGTATTTTTCAATCTAGAAAAAGCCTTCGCTAGAATCCCAAGAAAACTTACCTGGTGGGAGCTACGCTACAAAAAGGTTCCCGTAAAATATATAAAAATAATACAGGATATGTATATGGGCCATACAAAAATGGTCGGTAGCACAACAGGTACTAGCAGGCTTCACAATAGCCAAGGGATTTATCAAGGGTCGGCTCTCAGCCCACTTCTCTTCATTACCATAATAGATGTACAAACAGTGCTTGGAATATATTTGCAGATGATTTTGTGGAAGGATGAAATGAAAGAAAGATTAGTGAGTTGGATAAATATCCTAAAAAAGCAGGGACTAAAAGTAAATAGATCAAAGACGGAGTATATGGTGATAGGAGGAGATGAAACAGAGAACATTGATACAAATGAATGGCAGATATTGGCAATTGAAAACTGCAAATATTTGGGTTCCTTTATACAAACAAAAGAGATAAAGAGTAAAATTAATCAAGGGTGGTTAAAGTGGAGATCTTTATCTGCTCTTTGACAAAAGATTCCCACACAAATTAAAGGGAAAAATTTACAGTTCCATAGTACAACCAACTATTCTATATAGTTCGGAAACATGGCCAACCAAAGAATCAGACGAGAGAAGTCTTCAAACAATGGAAATAAGAATGCTGAGGATGATTGCTGGGGTAACAAGAAAGGATAAAGTGCGCAGTACAAGAATACTAAGTAGTTTAAAGGTAGTGCCCATTAAGACTAAGTCAATGGTAAACAGACTTAGGTGGTATGGGCACACAATGAGAAGGCCTATGAACTACATAGGAAATAAAGTTGTTGGAAGTGATGGACAAACGTAAAAGAGGAGGGCCAAAACTTCAATGGGACCATAAAGTTAGAGCCAATATAAAGAAGTATAAATTAGATAAAAGAGATTGTATGAATAACATAAACTGGAGAGTAATGTTGAAGGAGCTTACCACCAGAAAAGGTGAAAGCTAAAGAGAAAAAAAAACTCTATAAATAAAATTCTTGTAAAAAGGACCTAAATTAAAACCATTATATATAATAAATAATGTTGTCGATCGACTAAAACTCAATCCAGTTAAATGCTTTTATATGCGAGTTGAATTTATATTATATAATAAATAATTGCTGATGATCGGCTAAAAATTGATCCAGGTAATTGCTTTTATACGCGAATTGGGTATATATTATATAATAAATAATGTTGACGATCAGTTAAAACCCAAATCGTTGCCCTTAATTGCAAGCTGGTCACTAGCCTTTACAATATCAGGTGGCTAAAAATAAAAATTTTTTAAAATTATTTTCGATAAGCTAATTTTTGGTAGTAAAAAAAATTCAAAACTTTGAAGGGGACTCTTTAAATTTTTCGGCGGGCTCAAGACTCTGTAGCCCCCTCTAGTAACGCTAATGAGCTAGATTTTATTCGTTTATCAGCCGTGCCCTGAAACGCAAGTCGATTTTTTATATGAAGAATAAAATTTTTGACTTAAGGTTAGATTTAGCAAAACACAGCCCAACACCGATTCGGGGAGTTTTCAAAGAACATAAAGCAACATATTCTTAATTCGTAATCAAATGGAAAACTAAGTGTTACTTAAATTATTTAATATAAAGGTATTGTTTAAAGAGAGAATTCGTGGTGATTTGAGTGGATAAATTGAATGTAAGTAACGTTTTCTATGAATTCAAAAGTATCAAAATCATATTTTAAATATATATATCTGAATTCACATATGTCATTATATCACCGGATCATAAAATAAATATGAAAAGGATTAACGTAAATATGAGCCTAATTTTAAAGTTTTTAATTTACTCGATCATACTCCACATGACCTCAGGCTTATTTAATGGCCTCAATCGCTTGCCCGTAAAATCGCTTGCTCGTATAATTGAGCTGACTTTTCGCAATGCAATGGACTGTACAAAACGTTATCCCCGATCGAAACATCTAGATACTCTTCAGCATTTCGACCAACTCTCTAAATTTGATTATACTGATACGAGTCTTTTTAATGTTTGGTCATAAACATCGAAATGGATGAATAATCTTTTAACTGTGGTACATCTCTGGCCTGAAGTTCCAACGCCTGCAAACAAAATGAAGGGAACAGCCAGTTCAAGATCCGCATCTTCAAATACTCTTTATTTCAAATAGTTTATATCGTGAGATATGAAATTTATTTAAAATTATTTATATTTGTTAGAATCATGCCACTGGGATACAACGTCGATAAATAGCCCCATTTCAAAATTATTCATGGCAACATTTATAGCCCACTTTTCTTAAATATAAATCTTAGCCCTAACAACATGTGTTTTTGATGAAAACAAACAATTATATAAAAAAAATTTATTTAAAAACAAATGAGATATAAAATTTAGCATTATTTTAAAGCAAAACCTGAAAAACTATTCACTTAGTTTTGAAAGTATTTAATATCTAGTCCAGACTTCTCTTCTACTTGAACCTTGTTAGCCAGATTCTGTGTACTCTCGGTCGATTCGGAAATAAGGTATAAATCATGAGCGAAGGCCAATTATTAGTAGCCCAAATGAATATATCTCTTTCTTCCCCTATCTCGATTTATTAAGAAAAATGGCGATACACACTATGCTTTAAACCAAACTCTAGTTTTGTTAATGGGTCATATAAATGTATGCCACCTTTAGAATTTGATTTAAATGTAATAATGAATATTTTTATAATCAAATATCAAATAAGAACATTTTACCTTAAAAAAAATATTAACATTCATTATATCAAATCATTCACAAAAAATGTATATTAAATATTATTTAGCCACTTATATCATAAAGAACTTTAAGTAAAATATAAAAAAAATGAGATTTTCACAAAATTAAAATTATAAGTTTTTTGCTATTTTTTTTTACAAATATTTAGCATTTATTTAAGTTTTTTTCAAGTTTAAGTTTTTAAAAAAAAAATCAGTCCCCATAGACATTTTTATAAATCATCGCCTGTTTAGTTGTTAATTAGATCCAAGATTTCAAAAATTAAAATTTTGTCAAAAAGTTGCATATCGTCGGAATTTATTATTAAAAATCTTAAATGATTTGACAAGACTAGCAAATTTATTATTATACTTATTTATACAATTTACATTTTGTAATATTTTAAAAATACTATTTAAAAGTATTATTATATATAAAAAAAAAATTTACTTAGCATATGTATTTTAATTTTTAATTTTCTTCTATTTTATCTTTAGGCACTGTTAGATATATTTTAAATGTTAAAATTATTCGTACCACCTTTCGTACTTTTTCTTTCTTTTTCTTTGTATGACCTTTATAAACTTATCGTACTTTTTATATGTAAATACATGTTAAAATAACTTTTCTTAAAGTAACCTTAAAACAAATTGCACATATGTAAATATTATTAAAATAATAATATATATATAGTTGTAAAAAGATATAATGTTTTTTTAGATAAAGAAAAATTAAATAAAAAGATTTAAAATAGATTTTATCCTTTTTGATACATTGCCTTCCGTGAAAATAAAAAATAACATGGTTGCAGAATTCAACTACCTTATAATAATTACGTTGCCTTCTGATTTTACTATTCGACAACTACATGATGAGATAAAAAAACGATTTAAAATACGCATTCCATGAAAGTAAGACAATTATTCTTTAAGTTATCATAGACGAGAAGACATGCAAAACACTTATAGACTATTCCACGGCAAACAATACATAGATGGTAATGGGAGTTATTCACATTAAAAGCGAAGCGTTATCAACGATATTAAAGAGACGAACAATATTAGATAGTTGTATTGTATTTTGATATATAAATTATAAATTATATTATAAAACACTGATATAATAAAATATATGATATAATAATATAATAATGAAACCGTTAGTAAATGTTAAAAAAAAATTCATTGAGTGTCCAAAATTATACTAATAATATTGAAGTTTTTTTAAAAAAATTTTACATTATTTTTAGAGACCCTCAATTCTCAGACGCGGAGAAGGCGAATGCGTTTACTCAAAATCTTTCCGAGGAAGAATATCTAAAACTAGAGTATGTACTCCAACAGAGTTTAACAATCCGTCCATTTTTCTCGAAAGATTCAGACTATTAATGTGCACCGAGAAATAAAAGAGTCGATAAAAAGGGAGTTTGTTAGTAAAATTGAAAAATGGTAAAGTACATTTTTTTTTAAAGTTAAAGAGTCGATAAAAAGGGAGTTTGTTAGTAAAATTGAAAAATGGTAAAGTACATTTTTTTTTAAAGTTCAAGAGTCGATAAAAAGGGAGTTTGTTAGTAAAATTGAAAAATGGTAAAGTACATTTTTCCAAAAAAAAAATTCGCGAGTCGATTAAAAAGGGGGTAGGTTTGTGAAAAATTGAAATGGTAAAATATATTAATTATTTTAAATTAATAATAAAAATAAATGGAAATTGAAAGATAGATTATTTTGTTTCAAGGAAAAATATAATCGTTGATTATGAGTGAGGAAAATTCTATTTACAATGATTTCAAGAATATTACACCAATGATTCAGAATAAAAGATAATAAGACCAACTATCAAACTATCCACAATGACGCGATCAACTTTCAAGTTCGGATGCAGCCAATCATTTAACTACCAACTTAACTTTAGATGATGCAAAGCAAATGATCCATTATGCAATGATCTACTAACGAAATTGCTAAAGACCGATAACTCGATGATGAACAATACGACACGATCAATTAATGGTGTCAACAACAATATGAAAATTGATATATTACAAAGAATAATAGTTTTTTTTTAAAAAAAATTTTGAATTAGTGTCCTGAGAATGCCTCTTAAAAATAAGGGAGGCGTTCTAGGTATATGTTTATTATTATTATTGTTATTAATTTAAAGAAAATAATATTGATTTTTTTTTAATGTATTAATATATTTTATTATTATTAAAAATTGTTAGATTTTAGTTTTTGAAATATAAAAGATTTTTAAGTATAATCTCAAAAGATTTTTAAGTATAATCGCAAAAGTGTATTGAAAAATTCAATAAATAAGATATACAATTTAAATAATAGGTAGACTGAAAAAGAAATTTTGATAATAAGATATCCGCTAGATGGGGTAATATATCTTAAATTTATTTTTGATTTTATTTAATAACAATTAATTAATTTAGTTGAAAAATGTATCCATAATTTTTAAAAAAAAACTACATTTATTTTTAGAAAAATTCTTAGATTAAATAATCAATTTTAGCTTTTCTTTCTTTCTTTCTTTCTTTCTTTCTTTCTTTCTTTCTTTCTTTCTTTCTTTCTTTCTTTCTTTCTTTCTTTCTTTCTTTCTTTCTTAACTTAAATAAATGTAAAATGCAAAAGTTTGGTTGTTTAACATTATTTTAGAAATCACCCCAAATATAAATGTCAATTCTCAGTTTAGTCTTTCTTTAAAATAGACTTTTGAAATTATGGAAGTATTTTTGATTTATTTTGTTCTTTGAAAAATTTAATATAAATT